TAAAGGATACAAATATTACAAAAATATGACAAATCCATAATATGAATATATAATAGGCTTTGTTACTGAGATCTAATTCAAATATACACAAACATAGTGTAGGGATTCGATATTCGAAGCTTCGAGATTCGGGATTAATCGAATTTTAGTTCTAAAATGGCGAATTTTCGAAATCGAACTTTGGGGTGCTAAAATTCGGACAAAATCGAATATCGCGTTTATTTTCAAAAAAGCTAAACTAAATTTGGCATAACTGTGTGTAGCAAAAATCGAATTTCAACCCCCAAGTATAGTGGTGGAAAAATAAATAGAGACTCGACAATTTATCAAGTTTTGGCTATTTTTCTTTTGTTTATTAATGTTTATTTTTTTAACCATATAAGTCCAAGTTTTAAACTTAGTGAAAAAATTATAAATATTCTGCAAAGATTCATCTAAATTGCAAACATTTTAATAAGAATTTCTGGAAGAAATTTTTGATTTGAGTTGATAATTTGATTGATTTTTGACAATTTTTAATTTTTATTAAATCTTTCAATTTTTTGTATGGAAGAAAATGCATAATACCTTCAACAAAAAAATTATTTAAAATCAACACGATTAAGGCGAAATGGTGAGGCTAGCTAGTCGGGTAAACAAAACAGCATAATCAGAATTTTGAATTAATCCTCAAAATCTTGGCTTAATATTGAAGCTCTAATTTTCGGTAGGTTGGAGATTACACTATGTAGGCCTATACCTATGTACAAGTATACCTATGGCCAAATTAATATGAGTGCGGCTTTTGACTGTTTTTCTTTTGTTGGTTTAATGTCCACAAGTTTTTTATAAAATTATAGCTCGTTATATAATAAAAAGCACATAAATTCAAATTTCAAACTGCAAACTTCAACAACGTTGCATCAAAGCTCCAAACTTTTTAATCAGAACTAAAAAATCAAGTTTTTGAAATTTTGTTTTTACTGGCGTTGTTAAACATTTTTTTCATAGAAGACAAAAAAAAATAAAGCATTCTTCATATGGACGAATTTACAACTCGCGGAGTTGCCATTACACAAAAAAAAATTTTGCAGTTTTACTATATCGGTTGCATTTTTAGACAAATTTGTGTATTACAAAAGTTGAAAAATGCTGTAGCGGATTTTCATTTGGAACCGAACCGAACCATTTTTTTGGCGATGGGTTTCGGTTCGGTTTTGGCATTTAAAAATAAAAACGGTTCGGTTCGTGGTTCGGTTCGAAGCCCGAAAAAAGCGATGGTTCGGTTCAAAAACCGGTTCGGCTTAAAACTGGTTTGCAGCCCTGATTACAAGGTAAAATCATTCTCTCAATTCGTCGGGCCATTCGGACGTTTCAAAGCATTTGAAAATCATAGAAAATTGAAAATAAAAAAACGAAACTGTTCTCAGTTTTTGATGTTTGAGATTGAAAATGCAAATACGTGTGTGAGATTGAGTTTGGAATTTTAAAATTAGTTACGATCCGATACGAGTCCGGACTAGTCAGAAATAGTCAGAATCAGTCAGATTTTACTGGAAATCGATCCCGTACCCGGTTTTCAGACTGTTGAAAGAGAGTAAATACGATTCTGTCTCTGTCAGAAGATACCAGTTTTAGTCCGAGAGTTTTTTGTTGGTAAATACTGGCAAATGTGTCAAACGATCAGCTGTAGTGTGTTTGGCAACCAAATTGTAAACAAATGAAAAGTACACTCTGCTAATAAGTATATGTGGAAAAGTATTTAATTACTTGTGTAAGTGGATTCTAATCAATTTGAAAGTATGTTTGGTTATTTATATGTGTGAGCTGAGTATGTTTACGTATAAAATAAGCAAAAATGTACAACCAAAATTTGGAGGTTATGTTGAAGTTGAGAGAGGTTACCATTTTTTACTAGAAAGCGATCCCATACTTTCCAATGTTACTCTCTCGCTCTGAGCGAATTTTTATTTTTTAACAGTTTTACTAGTTTTAGTCCGACGAATACGGGATTGCATCTATTATATTGCGGGCAAACGTCAAACTGTCTAGCAATGGTTTTACCCAAGGCAAATACATATAAGGTCGTATCGATTCAATACAATACAATAATTAGTTGTATTTGGTTTTGATTTTAGCGGGACATTGTCAAATTTCTTCTATTCTTACCCGAATGACGAAAGGGCGACAGAAATTACAAACACTCTCACGTATTCTCTCACTCACTAGTGAAATACTAAATTTTGACAATGAAACGCCACTCACAGCTGATGCAACAAAACCACCTTATCTACATTCGCCATAGGATAAACTATAAATAGGTTAAACTATAAATTGTTAAAATTTTTTTTGTGTCAAAAATATGTATATATGTACTTATGCACATATGTATACTCTTTTGTTTAAAAATTTTACAACAAAAATAAAACAAGTAAGAGCAGCGCTGTCTTCGGCTATGCCGAAGGCTTCATACCTTTCATGAACATCTGCAAATTTTATTTGACAGATTACTGCTTTTGAATTCATCTGCATACATCGATAGAGGAGTTACATACATATATAAAAAATCACATCTAAACAATCAGAGGTATGGAAGACATACCTTATATTAGCACCAATCTAAGTGATTTTCACTGCTATGTGATCGGTATGTAACCCGGTAACACAATTTATTGGGTTTAGTTTCCAACATAAAGGAGATATATCGCAAAAACTGGTATCTTAACAATCAGTGCTATAGGAGATAAAGCTTATACAGCATAGATTTGGACGATTTTCTCAGTAGACTTTGTATTATTATTTATAAAATATCTTACGAAATTAATCGGTTTTAGCTGTTCAAATAAAGGAGTTTTACAGTAAAATCCCATATCTGAACAATCAGATGTATGGAAGATATATGTTGTAGTCATCCGATCCTTGTTATTTTCACTGTAAGTATTCTGGTAATAATGAGTGAAAATGGTGCGAAATTTCATGTTCCTAGCTGCATAAATGGAGGAGTTATGATAAAAGACCTCATATCCGAACAATCAGTTGTATGGGGTCTGCAGGTTATAGTGACACGATCTTTGTTATTTTCACTGTAAGTCTTCTGTTGATAATTAGTGAAAACAGCGAGAAATTTTATGGTCCTAGCTAAATAAATGGATGAATTATAACATAAAAGCTCATATCTGAACAATCAGTTGTATGGGAGCTATAGGTTATAGTGACCCGATCTTTCTAATTTTCACTGTAAGTATTCTGTTGATAATGGGTGCAAGTACTGCACAATTTCATGTTCGTAGCTGCATAAATGGAGAAGTTATAATGAAAAATCTCATATCTGAACAATCAGTTGTATGGGAGCTATATGTTATAGTGGTCCGATTCTTCCGGTTCGGACAAATGATTAACACATTATAAAAATACACCCACCTACCAAATTTTATCCGGATATCTCGAAAACTGAGAGACTAGATTGCATACAAACAGACAGACAGACGGACAGACGGACATACGGACATGGCTAAATCAACTCAGCTCGACGTTCCGATCATATAAGTATACATTTTCATGGGTCTATCTCTTTTTGTTCTAGTACTTACAAACATCGGACCAAAGTTATAATACCATTTCATGCTCATGAAAGGTATAAAAACAAATTACAATAATATAAAAAAAAAAACGAAAATTTCCTCAAAGTTGCAGTTGGTTCTTTTCCGTCGAACGCATAGGTATATCTATCTGATGTACTAATGCATGGCCATAAGTTTCACTTTCTAAGTGCATCAAATGAGCGAATGCTCGAGATTTAACGCTGCCCGCAACGTATTCATGCCAGATCGTCGTTGCACTCCAGCTGGGGTCCTAATAGCCAACATTTACATTGTTTATTACTGTTATTGTTGTTAAATTACTAACGCTTTTCTCTTGTCAGCCTATGTGCTGTTGTTGTAAGTTTTATCGCGTTGTTGTTGCAACAGCTGCTTTGCTTGGCAGACGGTACTCAGTCGGTGCTTGTTGGAACATAATTTACGAGCCTAAACTGTCATAAACAAATAAATTTTGCGTTTTTATTGTTCCTAATTAAGCGTGTTGCATGTTTGAATGTACATATGTATGTATGTATGTACAACAACAGGACTGAAACAAAAGCGACAATGCAGAACTCAACGACAATGCAACTGCGGCTGATTGCCGTCAGCAATGCTAGATTTGCTGCAACTAGTGGCCGCCACCCTAATATGCAAGCGAGTGTGTATGTATGTACATATGTACGTGCGTGTGGTTTTATACTTATTTTGGTGGCAAGTTATTTGGCACTTTTTTGTGCTGCATCGGCGCTTTTCGCTTGCTTTTATTGAATTTTTATTGTATTTTAGATTTATGAGGCGTTTAAATGTTGAGAGAACGCCAGCAGATAATACATAGTAGAAGTAGTCGGGGGTCAAATGCGTGTTGCTGCCAATGATGCTGTTAATGGATAGCTGCCCGGCAGGATGAATGGCTGGCTGGTTGAATGAGTGAAGAAGCCACTGAGTGGCACAACTGAAACAAAGTGGACTTCTCGATAGTCAACTGACTAGGCAGCTTCAGGGCGCGAGGCAAAGGAATGGCGGCAAGGCCGTTTAGTTGGATACATTTGGCTTCACATACGTATCCTATATAACGGTTTGCGTTGATAAATGTTTGGAATGATTTTTGTTCCTTCTCTCTGCTTACTGCAAAACGTTGCAACAAAGCGATTCGATTTAAAGTGTAACATAAATGCCATTTGGAGTCATTTTCGAGAACTTCCACTGCATTCACGCTCAGCTCTTGTGAGTTATGGCAACGCACAATTGGCTTCATTCAGCTGTTGCGGCCAATTTTGGCATATGACTTCATGCAGTGCGCGGATTATGAGCTGTGCATTTGTTGCCCATATGTTGAGGCTATATAAGCAACGTAGATTTGTGTTTTTGTTTTTTGATTGTTTATTGAAAGTGTGCACGTACAATCGTTAAATTTGAAATTTGTTTCCTCCTTCTTTTCAGAAAGTTTACGAGACTACTTCAGCAGGTTCGGTGATATATCAGAGGCTATGGTTATGAAAGATCCAACGACGCGGAGATCGAGGTAAGTGCAATTAAAATTAAAAAAAAAATTAAATAGATTTAAAGAGCATTATGAAATGAGATTTTCAAAAAGAAATTCGATTTGTGAAGCATTGATTAATAGATTTCCGAAGGTACATATTTAGAATGTAGGTAAATTATCGAATTTGTGCTGGAAATTCTATTTATAATCTGATAAAAAGAGTCAGCTTATCGCGAATTTTATTCAAAGGTGTATCTACATATATACATACCTATATAATACGCGAAGAGATTTTTTGTCCTGGACAAAAAATCTGTTCCGTTCGCCCGATTTGATTAAGATGAGATGTCAAATTAAAGCGCTGGTTTTAGTTTTTCGAAAAGAGTTGTCACCTGTTAAACAATTAAACTCAAATTATTTAATAGTCAATGCCGTCATCTCCGCACCATTCCTTCGATCTTCCGAAATGAGGTGTCAAATTAAAAGGCTTGGACTGTATGTGCAATAAAGTTTTACTTTTTTGAAAAGAGTTGCCAGCTTATCGGAATGGGATTGAAAAGCTTTGTTTCTTAGCTGAACTATAGGAGGGTTGCCACCTGTTTAAAAAATCATATTGGGCATGAGAAATATTTATCACCATATAAGCGACAAACGAAAGGAGTTTCAAACAGTAATAGTTTGAAAATATTTTGAAGAGCGTTGTGACCTGCTTGAAATGCAAAATTTTTAACCATCATGATATTCATTTTCTTAGGTTTTTTAAAAAAAACGATGTTTTTTAAATTATGTATTTTAGAACGAATTTCCGTCATTCCCTCTCAAATTTGGTTTGGAGACAAACCGGTTTCGGCGTTGTGCCATCTTCAGTGTCATTTGTCGTTCTCTCGGAAACAACAAAAGCAAAGAAAGAGATGTTTTTAAACTTATATAGAAGCGAACCAGCTACGAAACAGAAATTGAAACCAGGAATATGTACCAGGAATAATAAGACAAAAATTTGTTATATGAATTGTAACAAAAATCTTTGCAGAAAACATTGCAAGCATATTTCACAATGTCTGGAATGTACCAACACCACTGTTGATGATGACGCATAAAAATTTTAAAAATAAATGCTTATAATATGATTCAATATAAATACAAGTTATTCAAATGTTTTATTTGTCAACCTTTGAGATACACCTTGCGGCTGAATTGTCGCGGCGCACCCTCTCGTGTAACTCTCAAAGCGCGCCCTCCGAAGGGTTAAGAAGATTTTAGTTTGAGAATACTTTTGAAAAGGAATTTCAAAAATGAGAGGTCAAATTAAAGACCTTAGCCTGTAGATATGTTATAAAGTTTTCTATTTTCTTTTGTAATTAAGAACTTTATCATCGGTATAGGGTGAAATTAAAAACACGCACTATGGGAGACCGCTCTTCACTAGCACTTGGATGTTGTAATATTTCCCTAACTTTGTTAGTAAAATTCAATAAAATCTTTGAAACAGGCGGCAACCCTCAACTTTAGTTTGTTAGCCATATTGAAATATTTAGTATATCTTATCAATTAAATTAAATTTAAATTTTCAAACAGGTGGCAACCTTCAACAAAGGTATTTTCGGTTGTAAACCTTCTTAAACCTCTTTATTTTGATAGCCATATTGCAATATTGACTTTATCTTATCAACTTGCTTAAACTGCAATTCTCAAACACTGTTTATAAGTTGAACCCCAGGCAATACATCTGTTAAAACCGGGTTCAATTCCATGTATTAGTCTTCGAGTGATGTGCGTACAAACATACAGAAAGACTAAAATTCTAAAAACTGGCTTCTGTTGCCCTAATAAAGACATCCATGATAATTTTTCTTTAACATCTATAATGTACAGACATCGGCCTATTTATTATATGTAAAGGATTACCTCCTAAAATATCTGAACAAGAAGTCCCATGTAAATTTTCGTTGTATTTCAAAAGCTGAAAAAATTAGAAGACTTATGTTAACAAACACGTTTGCGACTGTCCATATGTATGTACGTACACAAAAAGAAAAAAAAATTACAATTTTCAAAGCCTATTAATAGTCAACGGACGCTGTGGTGTAGTGGTTAGTAGTGCGCGCTACCACTCCGTAGGGCCTGGGTGCAAGCCCTGGTCAAAGAAACATCGCAAAAAGTATAGAAAAAAGGTTTTTTCTTAACAGCGGTCGCCCCGAGTGTGTTTCTGCCAGTTTCTCATAAAAATACAATCGCCGTTCGGATTCGGAATATAAGCCTAGGTCCCTCCCTTTTGAAATATACATACTTGTTTATTTTTTTGATATATTTTTATTTAAAAATTTTTGATCTAATAACAAACATCTCGGATTTTCTGAATCATCTCGTGGTTTTCGGTAACGAGTTTTCTATGTACGCTCATGAGTCATAATCCAGAAAGCCTTTCTTATCCTGAGGCTCTATTCTGTAACTGTGAGTTTTCAAGTGTACACTGAAAGTTGTGTGCACTCTTCATTTTGCGATTTAGGAAGAGTGAGAATGAGTTTTAGCTGTCAAAATTGTGTACACTTCCTCATTTTGCGATTCAGCATGTGTGACAATGAGTTTTAACTGCCAAAATTGTGTACACTTCTCTTCCGAAAAACTCACGGAATTTTAGTCGGCGAGTTTTTGGTTGTGAGTTTTGCACTCGGTGTACACTACATTTTCTCACAGCTACAGAATAGAGCCCCTGTTGTGCTTCTGAGCCAGGTTTTTACTCTACAAAGTGTATTAAAGTGTATCGCTACACAGTCGCTGATGTGCATGGAAAAACACTCAACATGGAAATACACCTATTTATCGCTTTAACATCCGTCAAATCTTCTTCGGACAAGTTCTTTTTCTGTTTCTTCCATTAATTGTACCAAAGAATGAGTTCAATGCCCATAACTAGATCATAAATCTGTTGAAAATGCTTCGCGTTATTTTGTACCTTTTCACTGGAACATTTAAGTTCTATGCAGAATTACAGCGGACGACGGTTAAGCGGTTGGCGGTAAGTGAACAGCTGAACAGCTGCCGCAGTGAAATCCGTCAGAGTAGACATAATTGCGGCGCACGACGGCTTCCGTCAGTTGTCATTTTGATTTGAAAATTTTCATTAAAATTAAATATTTTTTTTACAGTACGTGCATGTATGTATGAATGAAAACATTGGCAAACTTGTGAAAATAATAAAAATTACTACAATCAACACTCAATCAACATTGTACCGTCCCCGCTGGGCGGTAAAAATATAAATAAATTTAAATCAATCCAAAAACCACGGGTGGTAAAAACGCTGCCGCCGCAATTATGGACCATTCCATATGCCTTTGTGAATTTTAATTTTGACAGCGGTTAACCGTCGACCGCTGCAATGCTTGGTAGAGCTTTAATTGAGTACAATGGGTGCAATCTAGACAGCGAAAAATCTGGAGTATTTTCATTGGAAAAGAGTAGTTGTAAAGATGCCGTTAGTTTTACTATGGACCAGTACTCATTTTCATTGACCGATGAGGGCTACTTCTATTTTTTTTTTTGTTTACCTCCTTCCTTGTTTGACTCCTTATGCATTCTTGCGATCATTCCAAAATATTTTCAATATGCTGACCTGCGGCGATGTGATCTAGTTATTGTTTTCATTTGCAAAATGTGTGCTGTAGGTTCCACGTTGAATTTTTATAGCAGCACACAATTGATACGCAGACTTTCTTGTGAAAAAGTTTCCCTGAATTTAAAACTTTCCTAATTCTTCCATAACTTCAGGAAAATTTGCTGGTAGCCTTATATCTTTCCCACCACACAAACGTGGTATATTAGGTTTCACACAAACGTGGTATATTAGGAGCATAATTATTGCGTGTCGCTGATTCGCGATAAAAGGTTTATCACATCTTTCCGTTCATCACACAATGGTGGGGTTTTTAATTCAATTCCGTACCAATTCAATGCTTAATGCTGTGCTTGCTTCATTGTATCAACGTTGAAAAACGCAAGCTTATGTGGAAAGTGAGAGCATAGTTACGAATTCGATTACGCATACAGTTGTATATTTTTTATTTCTAAATTTTTGAAAATTTTCCTTCGTTATGTAGCTGTACAACAAACCGCGGCGCATCAAATTTGAAACATAAAAGTAAGTAAAAGTAAGTGCTTTATAAGCGCTCCCTGCTGCACGGTTCTATACAAAACATTTTTTTGAGGTATTGGCAACCACAGTAAATGATTTTAGAAATAATTTAGGCTTGAAGAAGAATGCATGCAAACTTTAAAATTATTTTAGATTTAATTTGATCTTTATTTCGCTAACTCTTGAACTTCGCACATGCACTAAATTTTTTGATAAACTTGTGAGATTCTTAAAAATGTTAATATACAAAATATTTCACTGTACTGAAAACCTGTAGTTAACTGCCGATTCTGAGTTAACTACGCACTGTGAATTTGGCCCTAAGTGAAATTGTATTTATGCACCGCAGTGTATGAACTGAGTGGAGCGTAGCACAACACTAAAGACGAACCAAATCAAAGGAAGAAGGCCGATTATGAAAGGGTTAAAGTCAAATAAAGAAAATGTTGCCTAATTTATGGAAAGCTTAAATGGAAGAGACAACAGCTGAGGCAGCAGAAGCATGGAGTATAAGCTGGAAGTAGAAACAGAGCAGTTAAAGGCATCACAACTAGCCAACATTCTCGTAACACAAAGAAACATAACAAACAAACAAATATAATGGAGACACCGGCAGCCACTAATGCCTGGAGGCATTGGTCAGCAAGTGTGGTTAAAATTTAAACACCATCTCAGCTGCTGTGAAAACGACTGCTATAGATCTGCGTTAGAAAATGGTAGAAAGTTCCTAGCTGGGATTTAACAAAGTACGATTATGTGCGCGCAAACATCCAAAGAATGCTTTACATAATATTAGTAATTTTATACTGCGGAAGTGGAAAAGTAGGCATGGGAAATATTCTCTAATAATTTTTATCCACATATGATTATACAAATATACTTAGTATACACAGCACGGATATTACCA